TAGGAGCTAGGTCTTCGAAAAACTTCCAGCTATCTTTTGACCTGGAACCCGAAGAACAAAATAAACTATACTAGACTAATGTATATTAGAGTATACTATAGCTACTACAATAAACTGTATTCTATTACAACATACTGTAAAGCACTGTAATAATATGCTACGATCGACTATAGCATACCACCACGGGTCTTCTGCTTATTTTTCTATTTATTCGTCTGTTTCTTCTTCTAGCTTCGGCCTGCATGTTGAAACTGAGCTCATGACCGTTGAGTTCATGGCAAGAGACCGAAACCAATATCATAGTGAAGCATAGTACATTATGGTACATTAGCAACTATCGTATATTACAAGTATAGTATACTATAGTACATCAATGTACATTATAAACTACAGTATATTATATAGTAAATATTTTAGTACATTGTAAACTATAGTTTATTAAAAGTGTTTTGTTGTAAAACCAGAGCCAGGCCTCGCCTCGAAACCGACTCGAAAGGTTGAGGCGTGCGCCGGCGGGTGGCCGAGACCTCCATTGCTCTGAAGGAGTGAAGTTTAGCAATTGGGTAGGGTTTTAGGGTCTAGGATTTCGGGTTTTAGGGTTTAGACTTCAGGGTTCAAGCATCAGAAAGCTTGTACCCGGTGTCCTGCTGCCTAGTGGCCTAGTGCCCGTGCAGTGACCCAAACACGACGGTTTTGCATTATGTCCTATATATACTATAGTTTTTCCGTAGACTGCAATATACTAGAGTTTATACTGCAATATAATGTACTATTATAGGTGTAAACCTTGCTGAGCGACACTCTCGGCAGCTAGACTCTTAGGGTCTTACCCTAAACCCTTTTGCAACGAGTAAACCTTAAACCCTAAACCCTAAACCTACTTTACGATTAAGGACGCATGGGCCAGCCTGGCGCATGCCCAAAGCCGGCGCTGGATTGTCGGAGCCTGGAACGGGTAGAGGACTAAGCCCATGTGGTTCTATCAGGGCCGTTAGGATTCTGGTTGGTGAAGGTTTTGGGTTTAGAGTTCAGGGTACAACATTGGGTGCGCACAGACCGAGAGCAAGATTGCAAAGACCTAAGCTTTGCTTGCCACATGTCTCAAAAGGCTGATGCACTGCCATCCTATGATTGAATGTGTGTGCGTGCAGGTGCGAGGCACGTGTCAGCATTGAAGAGCACAAACTAGCGGCGTCACCTGGACAGCATGATATGTTACCAATGTTTGCAACAATCGGCTGTGTCCTCGCAATGCATACGGATATTTCGCTACCACTCTATGTCGTCTGCTCAGTCATCAGTGCACTGTGATAAACCAGAGTACACTACAATATACTATAATATACTATATTTAGGGGACAAGCTCTTACCATTTGCCAGACAGGCTCTCGAGCTTGCTGTCCTTTCCACATGAGTAGTTATCTAAATTAGGGTCCCTGTTTCGGTCTGCAACATGACGCGATGCTACTACAGTATCCCCCGTACTGTCGTCATCGAAGAATGAGATGTCGCTAGGCTTAATTTCTGGTTCGAGGTTGAATAGTGTAAATTGTTCAACGAGTGCTCTATATCTACAGGTAGTCTGGGCATGCCGAGCCATTGACGTGTGCGGAGGCAGACGCAGTACGGAACACCATCCTCCTCCCGATCCACCTGGCGGCTTTCGCTTGTATGTTTCGGTTCTGGTGATTGCAGCGCTGGGCCAAATGCAAGTTCTTGCACCCCGCATGGAATAAACTTCATCAAGGCCACGTGAGTGGCTCTTGTTGTCAAGCTCGACGAGGGAGGAGCGTCACAACTTTCAGCAGCACACTCTGTACATATTATTTTCTGTTCGAGATCCTGTCCTGCCTCAGCGATCTCGACTGCGATGAGCACTTTGTCACTGCTGTCAACCTGCCCCGGCATGAATCTCAAGGTGGGCAAAGGACCATGTGCAATGCCTGAAGGCCTATTGAGCTCCGTCGATACTCTTCATGTCTACTATACCTGAACCCTAAACCCTGAACCCTAATGTCAATTCGGGCTTTACAGTCCTTTCAGGCTGGGGCACCATTTCGGAAGACTCTTGGTAAGGTTTATTCGCCAAGTGCACCACGCGTCCCTGGTCCTTGTATGTTAGGCGATTTTGATGTGCTCTGGAGACAGTACAGATCTCTTTAATGGCTCTGAGCCGTCACATTGCTCTTTCTGTAGTTCATCCACAAGTGATTCGCTTCTGGATTGTCCCATGACTGCTTGCATAAACCCTGAACCCTAAATCCTAAACCCAACCACAAGGACAGCAACTGCAAGGAACGTGCCTGCCGCTCGAGCACGCCAAGCTTCTGTGCCCCAGACCTGTTAAACAAAAAGGCTGTAGAGGTAATGTAGGGGGCCTTAATAAGAATAGGGTTCCTCTAAACGGTTCCAATAAATCTATGAGACGGGGCCTTAACAGTTCAGATAAGGTTTTGGGGCGTACTACATTATAGGTATACTAAGGACCCCCCAAAATAGTATTGGCACTTATTTCAGCCCCTACAGTAAGCTTCTCAGTGCGTCTCCTCAAGCCATACCTTTGCGACCTTAAGCAAGTTTTCTGGCAAGTCTATGTTTCTATGGTATGTGACTGGGATGACGCGGCGAATTCGTTTTGCCCTGAGGCTGTTGGATCCGTGGACGGTGACTTTGCTTGGGTGCGGTTTTGCTACTTTGGTTGGAGTGGCATGGTCTTAAAGCACGTGCACTGACTGTGGTGCGAGTTTCACAGCATGCCGCTGCAATGCTTAGGTGTAAAGTTCCTTGGTGTCGGGTTCGAAATGGTTTTTATCTAGCTAAGGCCCGTTTTCAATCCTTTGCGTTGCAAGTACTTTCAGAGTGTGTTGTTTCCGAGGTTCGGAATGTGCTTTATCTGGACAGTTAATTAGTGTCTGGAAGCTTTTTTTGGCTAGGAATAGAAGCGTCTGCGGGCAGCGAAAGGTGTGGGGGGGAAGGGGGGAAGTAGATTGATGGCTTTTCGGAAAAACACTTGTTATTTTGTTCTGTGGCGCTTGGATCTGTGGGCGGGGTCCTTGGTTCGGTTGGGGTTTGCTGGTAGTTTGGAGACAGCCTGAAGCACAAGGAGCCGGCGAGGAGGAGGCGGAGGAGGAGCGAGCACAAGTCACTGCCGCGCTGTCATGAGGCTCGTGCCAGTCTCCATGATCGTCGGCCACGAACTCAAACTGCTTCGCTCTGGAACCTGTCAGAAGTCTACAGCAGCTTGAGAGGTGCTGCCGAAGAGATCGCAATTGAGACAGGCCCACACACCAAGTTGGCACAACTACGGTCGAATTTCAGACGCCCCGCTTCTGATAGAAGGTGTGGTGTCTGTGCAATCGTGAGCCACGCAAGGGACTCTCTTCAGCCAACCGCACGTGTCGCGGCGGCTAAGCTTGCTCCGCGTTTGCGGGCAAGTTTTGTGTAAGTCGGGAACCTGCCCATTTCCCACATGCAAGTCCTTTATGTAATAATCATCTGGCACAAGTGGACTTTCGTAGCATGATCATGGAACACCGACAGTAGTTGCCGAGTTGCTTGCAGGTACCAATGCCAACGCAAAAAGGTAATTACGGCTGGTGTTCAGTGCTAAAGTTCCAACCTGCTCAGGCCTACTGAGTCGCCTAAGTCAAAGGTTGCCCATTGTTTGGCATTCCCGACGCACGATTCCCGCAGCTCTCACAGCTTTGCTGCGCGAAGCTCTGCCACGACGTCGAAGAGAGCGTGCAAGACTGCAGAATCCCAGAGGTGGGCAAATGAGCATGAACTACTTGATGATTTCAGACTATGCCGGGCTCCAGTAGGGTCCGTGGATGCTGCCCTTATGCCTCCAGGCTTCGTGCGGGTATCAACTGTTCTGCGAAAAGGAAAGTCATTTCTCAAAACGGAGGATCCTCCACATGTTCACCGTTCTCCCGGACATGACAGCGTACTTTTCAGAAAGATTCTCCTTTTGAGAAACTCCCCAGTAGCTGGAGCTTTGCCATGTTGAAGCATCTTGCTGAAATGGAACCATCCTGGCGCACCCTGGAGCCAACACCAGTTTAAACAGACGCCTCTCGTCAAAAGTCCGCTAGTCGCATAAGTGTCCGAGGCGGAAAGCATAGTCCCAAGACTTCAACAAAGTGAACCTTGAACTGCGACTTCAAACAATGGCGCTGGGGCCTTGGGGTGTCGGTTCCTTCTTTGTTCGCATGTGCTCGCATGCCATCGTGCTAAGCATCAGCGTTCGGGTGAGGGCTCAAGCTTGGGGGGGTGGGGGCTTCGTGTCGATGACTAGTGTAGATCACATAATATACAATATCTGAGATCTCATATATAATAGTGAACTACAGAGAGTTGCAGACGGGTCCGGCGCTCAGATCCTCAGGAGAGTGACACTTCAGCTTCGCCGAGAACTTCTGGCTGCCGCGAAGGACCTACGTCGCCTCACAGCGGAAGCTAAGGGACTACATGGACTGAGGCGCCAAACGACCCAAGTAGCCTTGTGATAAGGACTTTATCAGACCCATCCAAACAATCTATCCTTCAGTCCCACTGCCGACTGTGCCGACAAGGCTCCGAGCTGCGGCTTGCCTTGGCTTCAGCTTGCAGCCACGATGAAAGTGGCAGAGAAGGCGAAGACAACGAGCAAGAACATTTGTTTTAACAGTGCAAGCGACAGTGAATTGTAAATTGCTGGCAATGACATCGAACATGACAGGAAGTCTCGGGATGATCCAGCATACAGACAGCGGCGTGGAAAAATTGCCGCTTTAGAACCATGGGCATCAGCGCTACTACCGTCTTGGCCACAGTCATCATCTGCCTCAACCTCAGTATGAATGCAAGCATCACCAAGATCAGCAGGAGAAGCAGCACCAATGTAAACCTCGTCGCCATCACGCTGATCCATCACGACTGAGCGAATGATGATGATGACGGCGACGATGATGATGATGATGACGATGACGATGACGATGATGACGATGACGACGATGACG